TGCATATTTCAAAAATATATATATGGTCAAAAACAAAACTAATATTTTGATATTTTTTGTTTATGTCATATTTCATCGAACATCATTTCTATATTCTAGTTCCTGCTGCAGTAGAGAATGTGATCATAGAGAATATCACCACCAATTCTGTTCTCCTGATCTGGCAAACACCTGAAGGGAACAGAAGTTCATATGAATTAGAAGTTTTAGGCGATTCAGCATCGGTTGTGAGCATTAATTCTAATGACACATCTTACCTTGTGGACCAGTTAATACCTGGGAACTTTTACACATTCAATGTCTATGCCAAAGCTGGAAACGGTTTGACTGGGGGCATCGCAGAAAACTATACATACACAGGTAAACATAGAATAGCAGGTTGATATCTCATTATAAAATTTGAAAAGCAAATGATAGCTAAATAATTACAATTCAGAAGATAAAAATAAACTGCTTGTTAGTTGAAAGGAACCTTAATTTGGTAAATATACTAATAAGTTTAAGGTGACAGCAGAGTGACTTAGTTAGATTTGACAATGCATTGACTATACTAATTTGACAATGTAAGATTTTAAAGCAACTGTGGTATATCCATGTTTTCCCTTTGTTAAATCCAGGTTAAGTTTCTTGAAGGCAAAATCTTTTGCCATTTGCCAAGACAGTGTTGCAATGGGTTTTGACCTACCATGCAATGTTTCTGATGGTTGCTGTTATTCACAATCAAGGCGCTCAGTGTTTCTATTATAGTTGAAGCATTGTTGTCTTGTGCATATTTCAAAAATATATATATGGTCAAAGACAAAACTAATATTTCAATATCCTTCGTTTATGTCATATTTCATCGAACATCATTTCTATATTCTAGTTCCTGCTGCAGTAGAGAATGTGATCATAGAGAATATCACCACCAATTCTGTTCTCCTGATCTGGCAAACACCTGAAGGGAACAGAAGTTCATATGAATTAGAAGTTTTAGGCGATTCATCATCGGTTGTGAGCCTTAATTCTAATGATACATCTTACCTTGTGGACCAGTTAATACCTGGGAACTTTTACACATTCAATATCTATGCCAAAGGTGGAAACGGTTTGACTGGGGGCATCGCAGAAAACTATACATTCACAGGTAAACATAAAATAGCAGGTTGATATCTTATTATAAAATTTGAAAAGCAAATGATAGCTAAATAATAACAATTCAGAAGATAAAAATAAACTGCTTGTTAGTTGAAAGGAACCTTAATTTGGTAAATATACTAATAAGTTTAAGGTGACAGCAGAGTGATTTAGTTAGATTTGACAATGCATTGACTATACTAATTTGACAATGTAAGATTTTAAAGCAACTGTGGTATATCCATGTTTTCCCTTTGTTAAATCCAGGTTAAGTTTCTTGAAGGCAAAATCTTTTGCCATTTGCCAAGACAGTGTTGCAATGGTTTTTGACCTACCATGCAATGTTTCTGATGGTTGCTGTTATTCACAATCAAGACGCTCAGTGTTTCTACTATAGTTGAAGCATTGTTGTCTTGTGCATATTTCAAAAATATATATATGGTCAAAGACAAAACTAATATTTCGATATCTTTTGTTTGTCATATTTCATCGAACATCATTTCTATATTCTAGTTCCTGCTGCAGTAGAGAATGTGATCATAGAGAATATCACCACCAATTCTGTTCTCCTGATCTGGCAAACACCTGAAGGGAACAGAAGTTCATATGAATTAGAAGTTTTAGGCAATTCATCATCGGTTGTGAGCCTTAATTCTAATGATACATCTTACCTTGTGGACCAGTTAATACCTGGGAACTTTTACACATTCAATATCTATGCCAAAGGTGGAAACGGTTTGACTGGGGGCATCGCAGAAAACTATACCTTCACAGGTAGACATAAAATAGCAGGTTGATATCTTATTATAAAATTTGAAAAGCAAAATGATAGCTAAATAATTAACTTTCAGAAGATAAAAATAAACGGCATGTTAGTTGAAAGGAACATTAATTTGGTAAATATATACTAATGAGTTTAAGGTGACAGCAGAGTGAGTTAGTTAGATTTGACAATGCATTGACTATACTAATTTGACAATGTAAGATTTTAAAGAAAGTGTGGTATATCCATGTTTTCCCTATGTTAAATCCAGGTTAAGTTTCTTGAAGGCAAAATCTTTTGCCATTTGCCAAGACAGTGTTGCAATGGGTTTTGACCTACCATGCAATGTTTCTGATGGTTGTTGTTATTCACAGTCAAGGCGCTCAGTGTTTCTACTATAGTTGAAGCATTGTTGTCTTGTGCATATTTCAAAAATATATATATGGTCAAAGACAAAACTAATATTTCAATATCTTTTGTTCATGTCATATTTCATCGAACATCATTTCTATATTCTAGTTCCTGCTGCAGTAGAGAATGTGATCATAGAGAATATCACCACCAATTCTGTTCTCCTGATCTGGCAAACACCTGAAGGGAACAGAAGTTCATATGAATTAGAAGTTTTAGGCGATTCATCATCGGTTGTGAGCCTTAATTCTAATGACACATCTTACCTTGTGGACCAGTTAATACCTGGGAACTTTTACACATTCAATATCTATGCCAAAGCTGGAAACGGTTTGACTGGGGGCATCGCAGAAAACTATACATTCACAGGTAAACATAGAATAGCAGGTTGATATCTCATTATAAAATTTGAAAAGCAAAATGATAGCTAAATAATTAACTTTCAGAAGATAAAAATAAACTGCATGTTAGTTGAAAGGAACATTAATTTGGTAAATATATACTAATGAGTTTAAGGTGACAGCAGAGTGAATTAGTTAGATTTGACAATGCATTGACTATACTAATTTGACAATGTAAGATTTTAAAGCAACTGTGGTATATCCATGTTTTCCCTTTGTTAAATCCAGGTTAAGTTTCTTGAAGGCAAAATCTTTTGCCATTTGCCAAGACAGTGTTGCAATGGGTTTTGACCTACCATGCAATGTTTCTGATGGTTGCTGTTATTCACAATCAAGGCGCTCAGTGTTTCTATTATAGTTGAAGCATTGTTGTCTTGTGCATATTTCAAAAATATATATATGGTCAAAGACAAAACTAATATTTCAATATCTTTTGTTTATGTCATATTTCATCGAACATCATTTCTATATTCTAGTTCCTGCTGCAGTAGAGAATGTGATCATAGAGATTATCACCACCAATTCTGTTCTCCTGATCTGGCAAACACCTGAAGGGAACAGAAGTTCATATGAATTAGAAGTTTTAGGCGATTCATCATCGGTTGTGAGCCTTAATTCTAATGACACATCTTACCTTGTGGACCAGTTAATACCTGGGAACTTTTACACATTCAATATCTATGCTAAAGCTGGAAACGGTTTGACTGGGGGCATCGCAGAAAACTATACATTCACAGGTAACCATAGAATAGCAGGTTGATATCTCATTATAAAATTTGAAAAGCAAAATGATAGCTAAATAATTAACTTTCAGAAGATTAAAATAAACGGCATGTTAGTTGAAAGGAACATTAATTTGGTAAATATATACTAATGAGTTTAAGGTGACAGCAGAGTGAATTAGTTAGATTTGACAATGCATTGACTATACTAATTTGACAATGTAAGATTTTAAATCCAGGTTACATTTCTTGAAGGCAAAATCTTTTTCCATTTGCAAAGACAGTGTTGCAATGGGTTTTGAAATACAAGGCAATGTTTTTGATGGTTGCTGTTATTCACAAACAAGGCGCTCAGTGTTTCTATTATAGTTGAAGCATTGTTGTCTTGTGCATATTTCAAAAATCGTGAAAAATTGTTCCATACTTACCGTAATTTTATTTTCCTGATCATTATTCATGGCAGCATTTACTCATGGGATAGCTCCTCCCCTTACAGCAGAAAGGACAGGAAATAGAACTTTGAAACTGGTATAAATAGATCCTTCCCCTTCCCATCAGGCAGTCTTTGTAACTAGCATCACAACTGCTATAGTATATGGGTGGGAACGTAATGCTGCCATGAATAATGATCAGGAAAAGAAAATTACGGTAAGTATGGAACAATTTTCCACTTTCCTGACCATTATTCATGGCAGCATTTATTCATGGGGAATACCCAAGCAATATATATATATATATTATATTATACACAACCCCATCTGCTAGAGTGGTAGGTCAAGGATTCTGCTCAAATTGGTTGAACATTAAGAACAGTACAAGACAAGGATGCCCTTTAGCTCCAATCCTTTATATCATGTCTCTGGAACTACTTGCTAATACTATATAAAATAACAGAAATATTAAGGACATAAAAATAGGCACAATAAAATATAAATTAACCATGTATGCAGATGGCATGCTGGTGACTCTTAGCTCCCCAGAAATATATTTATCTTATTTGTTTAAAGAGATAGATGTATGTAGCTCTTTGTCTAACTATTAAGAAAACAAAAATAAATCTGAAATGATGCCAATAGCACTAGAAGCAGAAACTATTCACAATATTCAAAGACAATATGGGCTTCTAGTGAACAAATCAGGGATTATATATATATATAATCTACGCTTCATCAAGGAGGGTTAAGCCTACCTAAACTGGAAAATTATGCCAATGTAGTGATGGTTACTCAAGCTCATAATTTTCAAGTAGACAATTCTAAACAAGAAGACTGGTACTTGATAGAATCTGAGTTATTAAAAATCAAAAATTTAGAAAATATTCTGTGGGCTCATCATAACGAGATTAAAAAAATAATTAGATATAACACTTTGAATATTCTTGATAACATTATTAATGGTTGGACAAGGGCACATCTTTCAGTTGGGGTGGGGTTCTTCAACCTCCCTCCTCCCACTAATCCAACCAATAATCCAGTCGAAACCAATAACAAAAGCATAAAATCATTGTGTAGCAGAAGCATGCTCCTCATTCTGTCTTCACTAACACAGCAGGGATAGAGAAACAGCACTGGAGCCCGTTCTGCATGAATCACACTTTCTCTCTTCCAACTGTATATGTGTGACTTTGTCAACCATACCCAATGCACTTTTCCAGCATTCCTGGAAAAAAGGCTGGTTGATTAGATCAGTGTTCCCCCTGGAGTGGGTATGGAAAGCATAAGAAAGAAGAAGCAGGTTAATATGAAAAAAAATAAATCTGCCTGCTCTTTTTGTGCTGCAGAGTAAGGCAATTGTCCACTTCAAAACTAAAGGTTTTAAATGAGACAGTAATTTCAAGGTGATGCATGTCCATTAACCCATGCATGCACTGTTATTTGCTCACATTCATACACATGTCATGTGGACTGTCTTTACAATTTATATAAGATGTGTGGATTATGATTTTGTCTTTTGCATCAATTAGCACTGGGAAAAATCAATGAATTAGTAAAATCTCCATATATTGTTCAGTATAGATCATTATATGTTTTTTTTATATTCTAGTTCCTGCAGTAATTGCGGATGTGATTATACAGAATATCACCACTAACTCTGTATTGCTGAGCTGGCCAACTCCCCCTGGGAACAGAAGTTCATATGAGTTAGAAGTTTCCGGCACTCCATCACAGAACATGACCCTTAATTATTATGAAACAACTGTGTTTTTAGATCATCTAGTGCCTGGGAATTTTTACATATTCACTATGTTTGCCAAAGCCGGAAATGGTTTGAGTGGAAATAAAACAGAAAAAGCAACATATACACGTAAGTATATTAAACCATGTTAAAGGATTACTCTAAGTACCATAATCACTGCACTATATTGCAGGGGTAATGGTGCTTGGAGTCTGCATGTGCAGCATTTTGGTTTGAAACATTTCCCATACAGGAATAACCTTGGTCATTGGTCATTGGTCACTCAACTACAGCACCTATTTGTATAATTGTAAAATCTATTTAAATGCAAAAGATTAAAAAATATAAAACATACTTTTATTATTACAAATTTCCATCTCTGGTCTGTTGTTAAACTATTTTACCGGTCAAATGTGCATCAGACCATTGAAATCAAGCCATCATTGATCAAATGATAGAAAATAAGTTAAATAGAATAGAAATAAGCACTCACTAAAAAGAGAAGAGATTGGTGGGCAGCAGTAAATCTGTGAGAATTCCCAAAATCTCGCTAACAATACAGATAAGGGCAAACAGGGAGATGAACCACGCCACAAGAAAAATAAAATAAAATAATACAGAATTTGGTAATATATAACAGGAGATATATCTACATCAGTATATATTCAATCTATATACACAGGAATGGGATAGTTTATATAACCTTTAAAGGAAGCAGAAATGGACAACATATAGTGCAATATGTAGCAGTAATGTGGACTATTTGAGGTAGGTATATAGAGTGCTAACTCACAATTGGTTGAGCTACTAAGAGCTCTGCTGTTATGCGCCCGGACGGTACAATCCCTGTTTGTGGATATAAGTAGCTCTGTTCTATTGTTCTTGCCATCCAATATATATATGGGAAAACACAATAGAGAGAGATCTTATGGTGTAGTTAGTACATACGTACACAAACTAAAAGATAAAAAGCGGTATCCTACTTACAATATCCAGAGCAATGGCCTGCTCTGGTATGGAGAGCGTTGGTGGCATTATCCCCACCTAGGATATGCAGGATATACCAGGGAGAATGATGACAGGAATGTGATGAAATAAAATAAAAATAATAAAATGGAAATATACCTATAAAATTATAAATACTTTATTATTAGTAGAACAACTAATAATAAAGTATTTATAATTTTAAAGGTATATTTCCATTTTATCCATTTTATTATTCGAATAACTAATAATAAAGTATTTATAATTTTAAAGGTATATTTCCAGTATAAGTATGCTAGGGACAGAAGTTTTTATTTTTCAATTTTACAATGTATGCGATGACATGTGATGACAACATGTTTATGTTAAGATGACCATATGTCCTAGTAAACATATGTTAACTGAGCCAATAACAAACTGACATCAGTCCCTTGGAAAACTTTGGTCTTTGGCACCAATAAAAGCACTTACAAAGTATCAATAGAGCCTCACCTGTCACGAAACACCTTTAAAGTATTCCCTTCTGCAGTGCTCTTTTCTGTTATTTTATCCTTTTAGTTGCCAACATTGCACGAGGGCCACTTGTAAAGAAAGAAAGGTACGGGAGCTATGGGATTCCCAGAGAACCGATTGAACTTCTGCTTACGTTGCACTTTGTGTGTGATGTCAGCGTGTGAATGCAAAAGTGTATTTGTGTAGTGCAGTCGTGATTGAATACAATCTGAACTTCAGAGAAAGAGGCCCAGTGGATTATCTGAGAATGTATACCCAAGCAAAAATTTACCACCATTTTGTCCAAAGATTTAACAGAAACAAAAGTGTCAGGGGGGGGGGCGAATAGATTAGATTGGGGGGAATAGATTAGGCTGCTTTATTACAAAAAAAAGGGGAAAAAACACTACCCCAAATCCATACACATTTAAATAAAACCTCAGTTATTTAAACGTGCATAAGAATTTGATATAGTGCACAAGTAACTTTTTTTCTTTTATTTTATTGTATGTATTGGAGCTGGCATGTAATATAGCCATTGCAGCTACCCAGGAGTAGTGAGAGTTTAGGTGCAGAGCTGAATTTTGTATGTTTGCATTCTTACAGAGGCTGTTATAATTTTGAATTATTTAAATTGATTATATACATTTATACCATGTAGAAGACTGCAACATTTTGAGAAAAAAAACCATAAGTTGTCTGTGTGTATCAGGGAAATAATGAGGTTACAATAATAATGTTAAAAAGTTTTTTTTTGGACAAATTAATTGTTTAACTTTCTTAATTTCTTTTCTTTTCCATGTACATTAGTTGCTTGTGAAGCTTTAAAAGTTATTGTATGTTTACTTTTTTGCTGTTTTCTAGCTCCTGGTAAAGTAACCATTCTCGATGTCTTGAAATTAAATTTAAGTTCATTGTATTTGAGCTGGTCACCCTCAGAAGGAAACCAAAGTGCTTATTTGGTGGATGTTTTGGGAGAGTCAAGCCAGTGGTTCACCGTAACTACAGAATCCGCAACTATTACCAACTTGACCACTGATATCCAGTACACAGTGAGGATCTCTGCACTTGCTGGAGAGAATGACCTGAAACTGCAGGGAAGCAGCAGTGATATTTCAGTCCTATGTTAGTATTATTTTATGATAATATTGATGATGTAAATGTTTAGGAATAAAATGAAGACCTTCTAAGTACTTGTTTAAATGAAAAAGCAGGCATTTACATTGCAGAGTTACAAAGTTTTGCTGATTTAAAATGTTATTGGATTTCCTAGTTTAATTAATACTTTTTTATTAATGGGAATCAGTTTAGGAATTAGTTGATAAGGTTTTCTTTGAAATAGTTTTTATTAAAGAATTTTGTAAATTTAACAATAATGAACAATAAAATCAAAACAAATTAAAAAAGGCAAAAATCATCTATGGCCATACCAGAATTAATTTCCATACCTTCTTAATTATTTGGTTCCTTATTTAAAAACGTATGTACCTGAGATAAAGGGTGCACATTTTTAAATGTTAGCTCAGTGGTGATTGCTTCTTTAAAAATTTGCCATAGAATAAAACCTGATTTTTTTTTTAATAAATCAATCCCATTACATTAAAAGATGTATTTAGTGGAACACGATATCCATATATGTATCTAGGTATTTAGGATAGACAATGGTTAATCAACTGATATTAAACTGGTTGTATTTTATATATCTCTTCAACAGTGTCAGACACCCTTAGTGCTACCAACATTACCACCAACTCATTAAAACTGGTCTGGCTGCCTGAGAACATTGAGCAGATATCCTACAATATAACTAGTTTTGGTATTCCATCTTATAATTGGTCTGGGGCTTCGGAAGAAGTGCTTATTGAGAGTTTAATACCAGGGAATCTTTATACAATTCAGTTATCAGCTTCACAAGAGAACAATGTATTGTATGGCTATGGAGGACGGATTTCTGTGTTTACAAGTAAGTACTGATTTATTTCCTTTATTATAATCTTATACAGTGTGTTATTTCTGGATTACATAACATACAACATGTTTAACTGTTTTCTGAAAAATTACAATTCATGCTGTACTTGTACAAATATATATTTAGCTATGAAACATCAGTGACTGAATACAAAGAACATTTGTCCTAAAACAATAATATGGGAACTTCAAAGATCCCTTACATGTTCTTATTAAAGAAATTATCTTGGCACCATACAAATGTAATTGCAATGAACATGCAAGGGGGGCATGCAGTGATTGGCTGAGAGCATCAGACGACTCGCACTGCCTATCACCGGCTTCCCTTCACATATAGTGGCAGTCAGTTTTAGGCTGAGAGGATCAGTTGATGATCTCAGCCAAACAGTGCAGCCCCCCACTGCTACTAACGTTAATACTCCAGCATTAGCCCAGAAGAAGAGGAATGGTTGAGATCAGCCCCTAGGCTCAATCTCAAGTTTTAAAGCATTCAAAAAGATTTAATGTTGAAAGGTAAGATTTCCCAGGGCAATAACAACTTAATGGAGATGAAGTTGTTACATTGCCCGAAGTATCACTTTAAATAATTCACATCACTCTGCTCTTAACTATTTACCCTCATATTAATATTTGTTATTAAAATGTCTAAAGTTGTGTTCTGATTGTTCAGTTACAAATATTATGTAGCATAATATAATTGCTGTGGCAACTGACATTTAATGTGGATAAGTGCAAGATAATACATCTTGGACGTAAAAAACCCAAGGGCAGAGTATAGAATATTTGATAGAATCCTAACCTCAACATCTGAAAAAAAGATTTAGGGGTAATCATTTCAGGTGACCTAAAATTAGGCAGACAGTGTAATAGAGTAGCAGGAAATGCTAGCAGAATGCTTCATTGTATAGGGAGAGGTATTAGCAGTAGAAAGAGGGAAGTGCTCATGCCATTGTACAGAACACTGGTGAGACTACTAAACTGGTTCATGGATTACAGGATACAGGATAAAACTTACAAGGAAAGGTTAAAGGATCTTAACATGTATAGTTTGGAGGAAAGACGAGATGGGGGATATGATAGAAACATTTAAATACATGAAGGGAATCAACACAGTAAAGGAGGAGACTATATTTAAAAGAAGAAAAACTACCACAACAAGGACAGTCTTAAATTAGAGGGGCAAAGATTTAAAAGTAATGTCAATAAGTGTTACTTTACTGAGAGGGTAGTGGATGCATGGAATAGCCTTCCAGCTGAAGTGGTAGAGGTTAACACAGTGAATGAGTTTAAGCATGTGTGGTATAGGCATAAGGCTATCCTAGGCTTAAGATAAGGCCAGGGACTAATGAAAGTATTTAGAAATTTGGGCAGACTAGATGGGCCGAATAGTTATTATATGCTGTCACATTCTATGTTTCTATGTTTAAAATATTATTATAATACCCTTCTAACCTACTTACAATGACCCTTCAATTCTTCTAACAGAGGACACTCTCCTTCCTTTTTTAAAATTTTTTAAAATTCTTTTTGTTTTTGTCGTGCAAAGAATTGGTACAATAAACATGCGGTGCCACAATAGCGTGACTTATTTAACGGTGTCATACATAACAAGACTAGGTATAGCATTCATATTACATGCACAAATTTTGTGTTGGTGGACGGTATCGTGCTGGTCAGGAGCATATGCAAGACTTAGTGTGTACATCGAGTGGGAGACATCGCTTGTTCCCCCTTGCAGACGGGGGATGAGGGTAGTACTATACCTGCATGATAAGTGTCTGAGCCGCTGTAGACTCTGCTTCGTAGTGTAGGCAGCGCATCTAAGAACTACTCTCTCTCCTTCCTTTTGTATCTACCTTTTCTTTTAACCTGCCTCTGCATGTAGGAATGGTGGGCATAACTGAACTTGCAATATGCAAAATGTTGTCTATAAACATACAAAACAACCTTTTTGTTTGTATATAAACTGTAACCCACAGATAATCTTATGGAAAATGTAAACAGATTTACTAGTAAATTTATAAAAAAAATATGAATGGTTGACTATAAAACAGAATATAATAAGAAGAGTTTTATTGACTACAGAGTGTGTAGTGTATGCAGTGTGTCTGTAGTGGATGCAGAGTGTGTGTGTATTGGATGCAGTGTCTGTATAGTTGATGCAAAGTGTGTATATTGGATGCAGTGTGTATACAGTGAATGCAGAGGTTATGTGTAGTGGATGCAGTGGGCGCAAAGTAAATGCAGTGTGCGTGTACAGTGGATCCAGAGCGTGTGTATGGTGGAGGCAAATGTGTGTGTGTAATGGATGTAGTTTGTGTGTGAGTGTGAATACTGGATGTAGTGGATGCAGAGTGTGTGTATAGTAGGTGCAGTGTGTGTGTAGTGGATGCATAGGATGCAGTGTTTGTATAGTGGATGCAGTGAGCATAAACTAAATGTAGTGTGTATATTGTATGCAGATTGTGTGTGTGTGTGCATAGTGGATGTAATGTGTGTGTATTGTGGAGGCAAATGTGTGTATGTAGTGGATGCAGTGTGTGTATAGTAGATATAATGTGTGTACAGGAGTTGTAGTGTGTGTGTGTTTAATAAATAGTGCATGAATGTGTGTGTTTCGTGGATGTAGTGTGTGTGTGTTTAGTGGGTGCAGTGTGTGTTTCTAGTTAATGCAGTTTCTGTGCATGTCTGTATAGGGAATGTAGAGTGTGTGTAGTGGATGCAGTGTGTGTGTTTGTGTATAGTTTATGCAGTGTGTTACTGTGTCTGTATATTTGTGAGGTAGGATAGGGGCTTAATGTGGATGTGTTTGGTAAGCAGTGAGCAGTTTTTAAACAATTATATTTTAGGTTGTTTTTTTATGTGGCTAGGGAGGGAGGATACTACATTCCCTGGAGGTTCGGTGGTACTCTGCAGGTGTCCAGCTTGCTGTCTTGTACAGTGAAAAGTGGGTCTGAGAGACTTCAGGTTTCATTTTTGGCAAGTCCTCTCCTGTGCCCTGGCATTGTGCCTCTTTGTAATGTTGTCATGGTAACCTGCACTAACGCTCTGACAACCAGGGCTCACGATAGAGGGAGAAGACCTGCTGAGGAGGCAGCTGGAGCCTCCTGGGTCCCCCTTTAATATACAAGATATATGTTATTATTATTATTGCCATTTTTATAGCGCCAACAGATTCTGTAGTGCTTTACAATATTATGAGAGAGGGGATGTAACTATAAATAGGACAATTACAAGAAAACTTACAGGAACAATAGGTTAAAGAGGACCCTGCTCAAGCGAGCTTACAGTCAATAGGAGATGGGGTATAAGACAAGTTAGGACAGGAAATATCAATCAAAAAGGATGGGAGTGAAGGAGAGAGTAAAGTACTGCCCTAAGCTTACTTATAGAGATGGGTTTTAAAGCACTACTTAAAGAATTGAAGACTAGGGGAGAGTCTGATGGGGGTAGGCAGGCTCTTCCAAAGGAAAGGAGCCACCCACGAAAAGTTCTGCAAGCGTTAGTTGGCCTTACGGGTGCGAGCAGCGGTCAGGAGGTGGTCACGGGCAGAGCGGAGGGAACAAGGAGGGGCATACCTTTGGATCTGTGAAGAGATATAAGAGGGGCTAGAATTGTTCAGTGCTTTAAATGTATGGGTTAGCACTTTGAATTGACTCCTATAGGATAAAGGGAGCCAATGTAAGGACTGGCAGAGGGGTGAGGTGTGAGAGGACCGACTAAAGAGGAAGATAAGTCTGACGGTGGCATTCATTACAGACTGTAGTGGGGCAAAATGGCTTTTGTGGAGACCAATCAGGAGAGGGTTACAATAATCCATGCAGGAAATTACTAGGGCATGGACAAGCTCCTTGGTAGCATCTTGTGTAAGAAAGGGGCGGATGCGGGCTATGTTTTTAAGTTGGTATCTACAGGATTTGGCAAGAAACTGGATTTGAGGCTCAAAGGTGAGGCCAGAGTCAAGTATGACGCCAAGACAGCGTGCTTGCAAGGATGGGCTTATGCAGATATCACTGACTTGAAGGGAGAGCGAGAGAGGAGGATCAGTATTAGAAGGAGGAAAGACAAGGAGTTCAGTTTTAGAGAGATTTAGTTTCAGAAAGCGCGAGGACATCAAGTCAGAGATGGAAGAAAGGCAAGCAGTGACACGTTGCAAGACGGCAGGGGAGAGGTCCGGGGAGGAGAGGTATATCTGAGAGTCATCAGCATACAGGAGGTATTGGAGTCCAAAAGAGGCAATAAGTTTACCAAGAGAGGCAATATAAAGAGAAAATAGAAGGGGACCAAGGACAGAGCCTTGGGGAACTCCAACGGAGACAGGACGAGGGTAGGAGGTATCCTTGGAAAAGGAGACACTGAACGTTGGGAGAGATAAGAGGAAAACCATGAAAGGACAGAGTCACAGAGACCAAGTGATTGAAGAGTTTGAAGGAGGAGAGCATAATCAATGGTGTCAAAGGCAGCTGAGAGGTCAAGGAGAATTAGTATGGAGTAGTGGATTTAGCTGTGATTAGGTCATTAGTAACTTTGATAAGAGCAGTCTCGGTAGAGCGGAGAGGGCGGAAGCCAGACTGAAGAGGGTCAAGGAGAGAATTGGAATTGAGGAAGCGAGACACACACACATATATATATATTTACATATTGTATCTCTAAAAGTATCAGGGTCATTGTTGCTTTTTATGTAAAATGAATACAAGTACACAAATCTAGACCTTTGCATTCAGTTTTGGGTGAATCTAATTTAGTCTGAAATTTAGGCAAATTTTGGTATCTATATATAAATGCATTGGGAATATAGGGCCGTGGCCTAGGTCCCTTCAGCTGTATAGGCTGTACACACTTGATGGCAAATCTGTTCCTCAGTGTTGGCCTGTTTGAGGATCTACTGATCCATTTAATTTTAATGTACATCTAAACAAAAATGTATTGTTGTTAATATGTATGAACAAAATATAATCGATGTATGTCTTTGTGCTAAACATAGGACCTGATATCATCAGAAATGTGCAGTTTGGAAATATAAGTACTACGTCTATTGATCTGAGTTGGAATCCCCCATTTGGTAACCATAGTAATTACATAATTGAAATGACGGGAGATTACCTACAGAATTTGACAACAGAGTCGGCATCCATCTACAACCTCACCCCTGGAACCCAATATACATTTAAAATCTCTGCAGTTGCAGGAGAAAATGTACCTGGAGATATATACAAGCTATCTGTTTTCACTGGTCAGTGTTATTACAAAATTACAAAATACATTTTAACAGTCATGATATCTTAAAAGAATAATAATTGCTTATTAAAACTTTCAATTTGTTTTATTCCTAGAGCCTGATGTTGTCCAATATCTAAATATTAGTTGGATCTCTGCTTCTTCTGCTTTTCTTAGTTGGACTCAACCCCAGGGTGGCCATTTGTTTTATCAGTTAGATGTTACAGGACCCTCTACAAATAACCTAACTTCTTACACAGAATTTTTGCTTGTGTCTGACCTCATTCCTGGATCCCAGTATAATTTCTCTGTTTATGCAGTAGTTGGAGAAAATAGGACACAAGGAAAAGCAGTTACAGTTTCAGGCATGACACGTGAGTATAAACTATAACACTGAAGTTATCATTAAAAAAAAATAATACATTTTATGTTATTTAAATACATTATACACACTATGGTATTAATTATTGCATCCAATATGCTTTGTTTTCAAACAGAACCTGGTGTAGTCAGAGATATCCAGCTTGTAAATATATCTTCTACATCTATTCAATTGACATGGCTTCCACCAATTGGTACACACAGCTATTATAAGATTAGTGTGATTGGAGATATCTTTCAGGACCTTACAACATCTTCAGAATCATTGTCCATAAAAGATCTCACTCCAGGAACATATTACACATTTGTAATATCTGCAGTGGAAGAAAACACTGAAGGAACAACACAGGAGATTTCAACATATACAGGTAAGGAATCACTTGATTGTTCATTCTTTCACAAAACCATATATCTATAAATGCACTGTATATTCAATCACCAACTCAAACTAACCTTCCCCATATATTCATTAAATCATTTTAGCAAGCAGAAAATAGTACAGTGTAAAATCTTATATGCAATTTGTAATTTTCTTGGTGTAACACTGTGGCTACAGTTCTTGTCTGGGCTAGTTCTAGAGGTTGGGAGATTGATATTTCTTGTCTGTTTAATGTTTGAATACCATCTTTATCTCTGTACTTAGCTGTGTCAATTTTATAAGGACTAGTAAAAATCCAAATGTCACCTTGTTAACTGAGTTCATCCTATGCCTTCCAACCTCCATGTTTCAGTAGGATTCTTTTGGCAATATGTGCTGATACCTCATCTTGTATCTCTAAAGGTATCGGGACCATTGTTACTTTATATGTAAAATTATTATGAGTACACAAATCTAGACATTCCCATTTAGTTTTGGGTGAATTTAATTTAGTCTGAAATTCAGGCAAATTTTGGTATTTGTAAGGTTCAGAATTCCCAATTCAGCAGCATTAGAAATAATGGACAACAAATGTTTTCAGAATGAATTTATCTGATAATATTCTGACTCATTCGTTTTCATAAAGAACACACATTAAGAACTTATCTATTAAGCAACTGAAATAGCAAAATTAAGAAAAGGTATTTTTGCCTTAATTTTGATCTTTCATCTTGGATTAATTATGGGTATCAAATTATCTACCAAGCAACTGGAAGAGCAAATTTAAGAAAAAGGGCTTATCTTATTTTGGCTCTTTTATCTGTTTATGAGATAGGGCCCCTAATTTGGTACATTGATGTGGGATTGCCCTTTTTAAGAAACCCTGTCAGGATGTTGCAAAGCGAAGAGATCTTGCATCCACTCAAGTATCAATCTGCCAGGCATGCCCGATTCACTTTTCTTTTTGCTTGGGATAGTACACTAATCAGTTAAACTGGTGTCCACGGTCTATTAACCAGCGCTCTAAATTGGTATCCTAAATATGGGAATCCCACGTAAGGTTACCAATATTGGGGAGCAATATAGTAAACAGTACCCTATAGGGAATAACATATGTCTGAATTGTGGCTAAATTTAGTTTGTTTCGAATTGAGAATTACCAAGTCTCACTGATACAAATTTTTGAATTACCAAAATGAAACTAAACAAGTACCAAATATTTTCCCATGGCACATGTCTAATAGTCATATTTAGAGGAAAAGGCAGTATATGCTCAGTATGCATGGGAATTAAAACATATAGAATATCACCACCAATTCTGTTCTCCTAAAATGGTAAATCCCAGAAAGGAACAAAAGTTGATATAAGTTAGACTTAAGTCACACTTTTTGAGCATTATTTTTTCCAATACATCTTTCTTTGTTCAATGGCTAGTACTTGGAAACCTTTATACATTCAGTATAAATCACAAAGCCGGAAATGGCTTGACTGGGTACATACGAATGTAACTATAAAACAGTATGGTTTATATCTCAGTTTAATATTTGGAACACAAAAAGAAACAGTAAGATTAAGGAAAATGATTGCATTCCTACCATTATTTTTTTTCCCCTGATTATTATTCATGGCAGCATTTACTCATGGCTTAGCTCCTCCCCTCACAGGAGAAAGGAAAGACAATAGAACTCTGAAATTGATATAAATACAGAGGTTTAACTAGAAACTACAGGGCCCCGGTTTAAAAATTGCCCTGGAGCTTCCTTCAATCTCCCCCCTCCCCCCACCCCTCCATTTGTATACTATAACACATACAGATACATACACAGACACACATGCTAATACACAGACACACATTCGGATACAAAGAATGACACTTCTACAGATACAAACAATGACACACATACACACATACAGACAGATATTCATATAGACACATGCAGATACACATACACAGCATGACACACATACAGATACGAACTGTGATACACATACAGATACATAGGGGCACACACTGACAAACATGCAGACAAACACATACACACACAGACACATGTGAAGAAAAACAGAAACGGGTGGCCGATGCCCTTCAATGCGGCCCCGGCGGTTGTTCCACGCAGCCGGGGTCGCGCCACAATGCTGGCAAGAACCCCAGTCGCAGGGGTCTGCAGGGCTGCCGGGCCCCCTGGATTGATGGGTATAAATAGATCCTCCCCATCCTTCCTATCAGGCATTCTTTGTAATGTCAAAAATATCCTGGAGAAATATAGAGCCAGATAGGAATTAAGGTCATAATACCCAAACCTATAGAAGAAACAAGGCTAGACTACTACAAGACAAACTCTTAAGGTTGAAAAGACACACATCCTGTTATGGACAAATAAAACATTTTTAGAGAACCTCCATAAAACCAAGACATGGTCTACAAATGATAGACCTAGCATGTTAAAAACAGAAGATAATTTCCTTCTCTAATATAAATGAAATACCAAATAGAAGGCAGTATCAAATCAGAATCTTGACAAATGCATATCTTCCAGAGATCAGACTCTCAACAATACCTTACACTCAGGGCCGGTGCAAGGATTTTTGCCGCCCTAGGCAAAAGTAAAGTTTGCCGCCCCCCTCCCCCCCGACATCACAATGCCCCACCCATATGACCTGCCATGTTAACTAACGCTAGTGCTGCAGTGCTGCTGTGTTTACATTAAAAGGCCTGCAGGGACAGGCTATAGACACCAGGGCCACTACATTAAGCTGCAGTGGTTCTGGGGACTATAGTGTTTCTTTAATGTGAGGAAAATTAGAGATTAGTGCCACGAATAATATACTAGATTACCTACTTACAAGCAGATGAGGATGATGATGGGCTCTAGCTGCAGTCTGGCTCCACTGGTCTGGTGTATAACAGGATCTCTGGAGGCTGTTTGTAACTGTGGTCACACAAATCAATGTTCTGGGAGAGCGAGAAGCAGCTCCATTTTTTGGGGGCCCTTTACACAGCTCAAGGTCTGGGTCCCAGGGTCCACCTTCATTTTCCACCAATGAGTTTGTTCACAGGGGATGGAGTGTGTAGGGGATGTCCTGATTTGTGTGTAAGGAATGCATTGTGTGAATCTGTGTTTGTATGTGTAAGGGCTGCAAGGTGTGTTTCTGTGTATGTAAGGGATGAAGTGTGTGAGTCTGTAAGGGGTGCTTTGAGTGTGTTTAAGGGGTGTATTGAGTGTGTTGTAAGGGATGCATTGTGTGTTTCTGTGTGTGTAAGGGATGCATTGTGTGTAAGGGTTGCATTGCATGTGTGTGTGTGTGTGTGTAATGCATTGTGTGTAATGCATTGTGTGTTTTTCTGTGTGCAAGGGGTTCATTGTCTTTGTGTGTAAGGGGGGGAGTTTTTGTGTGATGGATGTCCATCTCTCCCCCCTCCCTTGTCACTCTCTTCCCCCTCCCTCCTCTGTCACTCCCACCTCCCTGTCAATTTCTCTCTCCCCGTCAATTCCCCTCCCTGTCAATGTCTCCCCCCTCCCTGTTAGTTCCCCCCCTGTTAGTTTCTTCCCCCCACCTCCCTGTTAGTTTCTTTCCCCCCACCTCCCTGTTAGTTTCTTTCTCCCCCCTCCCGTCAGTTTATTTCTTCCCCCCTCCCCTCCCTGTTTCTTTCTTCCCCCTCC